TGGGTTTGAACCATTGATCTTACGGCTAACAGTCCAGTGCTTATCTTACAGTGCCACAACAGGACTCCACAGCACCTTACAAGGATTCCAACCTAAGCATTAGTGAGCTGAAGTGGACAAGTATTGACCATTTAGAATCAGACAATCATATGGTTTACTATGCCAGGACTGACAAAGTGAAGAGGAATGTCATCACTTTCATCAACAAAAAGTGCATTTCAGGATCTACCTTGAACTATAACACTGCCTGTGATAGAATATCCATACAAGGAAGTCCAGTTAATACTACTATTATTTAAATTTATGCATCAACCACTAAAGCCAGTGATGATGAAATTGAGGAACTCTACCAACTGCTTACATCGGAAATTGATCAAATATGCAATCAAGATTCATTGATCATTACTGGTGATTGGTGTGTGAAGGTTGGAAACAAAGAAGAAGGATCAGTGGTTGGAAAATATGGCCTTGTATATCACATGATAGAATTTTGGAAGACCAACATCTTTTTCACTGCAAACACCTTTTTTCAATAACTGAAAGATGACTATGCATCTGTGAACCATACCAGACGGAATAAACAGGAATCAAACTGACTACTTCTGTGGGAAGAGATAATGGAGAAGCTCAATAGCATGAGCCAAAACAAGGCCAGCAGCTGACTATGGAACAAACCATCAAATGCCCATATGCAAGTCAGGTTGAAACTGAAAAAAATTAAAACAAGTTAACAAGAGCCAAAATATGAATTTGAATATGTCCCACCTGGATTGAAAAACAGATTTGATGCATTGTCTAATAACCAATGGGATGCATTAGACACTAATGAACAATAGACACTAATAGGGTGACATCAAGAACATCATACATGAAGGAAGCAAAAGATAATTAGAAAGACAGAGAAGAAAGAAAAAACAGAATGGACGTCAAAAGAGACTGAAACTTGCTCTTGAGCACAGAGAAACTAAAGTGATTGGGAGAAATAAAGAAGCAAAAGTCAAGTATTATAATGAAATGTGTAAAAACCAGGAATTTACATACTGTAAATTAATTCAGCACTCAATCATCTATGCCAAGAAATTTGGAAGACATCTACCTGCCCAACCAATTGGAAGACATCAATAGTTGTGCCCATTCCAAAGAAAGTTGACCCCATAAAAAGCAGAAATCATTGAATAATAGTATTAATATCACATGCAAGTAAAATTTTGCTGAAGATAATTCAAAAAAGGCTTCAGCAAGATATCAACAGGGAACTGTCAGAAATTCAAGTCAGATTCAGAAGAGGACATGGAATGAGGGATATCACTGCTGACGTCAGATGGATTTCCACTAAAAGCAGAGAACACCAGAAAGAAGTTTATTTTGCTTTATTGACTACGCAAAAGCATTCAACTATGTGGATCATAATAAACTATGGATATCATTTCAAAGAATAGGTACTTCAGAATATTTAATTGTGTTCATGAAGAACCTGCACAGAGAAGAAGAAAAAGGCAGTCGTTCATAAAGAACATGAGGCTACTAAATCGTTTAAAATAAGAAAAAGTGTCTTTCAGAGTTGAATCTTTTTACCATGCTTATTCAATAGGAGCTCTGGTAGTGTAGTGGTTAGGAATGGGGCTGCTAATCTCACGGTCAGCAGTTCGAAACTACCAGGGGTTCCGTGGAAGAAAGATGAGGCTTTCTGCTCCCATAAAGATTTACAGCCTCGGAAACCCTGTATAGGGTTGCTATGAGTCAGAACTGACTCCACGGAACATAACAACAACAATCCAATATGTATGGTAAGCAAAAAATCCAAGAAACTGGATTTCATGAAGAAGAACATGAAATCAGTAGTGGAGGAAGACTCTCAAACAACCTGAAATATGCAGATGATACAACATGCTAGAAGCGAAGACGACTTAAAATACTTACTGGTGAAGATCAAAGAGCACAGCCTTCAGTATAGATTGCATCTCAATGTAAAGAAAACAAAAATCTTCATCACTGGAGCAATAAATAGCATCATAATAAATAGAGGAAAGACTGAAGTTGTCAAAGACTTAATTTTGCTTGAATCTATAATCAACATTCATGGAAGCAACAGAGAAGAAATAAAATGCATTAGGCAATACTGCTACAAAGGATCTCTTGAATGTGTTAAAGAGCAAAGATGTCCATTTAAGGACTAAGGTGAGCCTGAATCATACCATGGTGTTTTCAATTAACTCATATGCATGTGAAAGTTGGATAGTTGGATAATGAATAAGGAAGACCACAAAAGAATACAAAAGTACCATGGACTTTCAGAAGAGCAAACAAATCCGTCTTGGAAGAAGTATAGCCAGAATACTCATTAAAAGTGAAGGTGTTGAAACTTAGTCTCTTTTTCACTGGACAAGTTGTTAAATTCCATCCAGTCGGTTCTGACTCATAGCAATTCTATATAGGGTTTCCAAGGAACAACTGGTGAGTTTGAACCACCAACCTTGCGGTTCAAACCGACCTTGAGGTCAAGTGCTTATCCTATGGTGCCACACCAGGACTCAGGACAAGTTGTTAGGAAGGATCAATACTTTTGGACATATTTTCAGGAGGGATCAGAGAAGGGCATCAAGCTTGGTAAATGGGAGGGTCAATGAAAAAGAGGAAGACTGCCAATGTAATGGATTGACACAGTGTCAGCTCCTTAGCCATAACATTGTTGCTGTTGTTAAGCACCGTGGAGTCGATTCCTACTCATGATGATCTCTATCTTATTTAAATTTAATTTTTGCCACATCCATCTCATATTTCTCTCAAATAATATCTGAGGATAAAAGCAAACATTTACTAAAATTAAGGCCCTAAAATAAGATTGTTGTTAAATACTGTGGAGTCAGTTCCGACTCACAGCAACTCTGTGTAGGGTTTCTGAGGAGCGGCTGGTGGGTTTGAATTGCCACCTTATGGTTCAAATTAACCTTGTGGTCCAGTGCTTATCCTATGGTGCCACACCAAGACTCCTAAAATAAGCTTTTTGTTGTTGTTGTTAAGTGCTGTTGAGTCGGTTCTGACTCACAGTGACGCTGTATAGGGTTTCTGAGGAGCCACACCAGGAGCCAGGGGTATCAAAATACTCTAGTTAAAGCTTGCTTAAAAAAGAACTCAAATACTTAAATAAGAATCATTACATAAAGCTTGGACTCCTGGTGGGGTGCTGTAGGTTCAGTATTAGACTGTGAACCATAAGGTTGGCAGTTCAAACCCACCAATCTGCTCCTGGGAAACCCTACACTGGGTCGTTATGAGTCAGAATCAACTTGACATCACTTAACAACAACAACAATATAAACCTTGGACTCCTGGTATGGCGTTATAGGATCAGCACTGGACTGTGAACCACAAGGTCAGCAGTTCAAACCCACCAACTGCTTCTTGGAATCCCTAGTTAGGGTTGCTATGAATCAGAACTGACTCAATGGCACTTAAAAACAATATCAAGCTTAGAAAACAAAGAACTAATTACAATATTATATTGTTGTTGTTGTTGTTAAGTGCCATCGAGTCGGTTCCGACCCATAGCGACCCAGTACAGGGTTTCCAAGGGGTGTAAATCTTTACGGGAGTAGAAAGCCTCATCTTTCTCCCGCGGAGCGGCTGGTAGTTTCGAACCGCTGACCTTAAGGTTCGCAGCCCGATTCGATATTTCCCAGTTATATTATGATATAATATTTTCAAGTTACCTTAGCAGTATTAGAAATATGATTCTAGGCATGCTTTCTCTATCAATCTGGTGGAAAAACTGAAATGTTCAGATGGAATTAGGATATATCCTCATGACTGATCACTATATGTGAGAATCCATTGCCAGGAAGAAATTAAGGAATTGCCAGAATTGTTGTTGTTTTTCTTAAGTGCTGTAGAGTTGGTTCCAACTCATAAAGTCTCTGCATAGGGTTTCCAAGGAGTAGCTGGTGGATTTGAACCACCAACCTTGTGGTTAGCAGTTCAGTGCTTATTGAATATACCAGTATTCCCAAGAAAAGTCCAATACCCCTAAACATAATTGTAAATAAATTCCCCAAAGGAGAGAAGAACATATTCTTGGAACGGGGAAAATACTCTGAAAATAGCAAACTGAATATACTTGTAGAAATATACTGACCATCTTGTAGAAAAAGGGAACATGTAAAGAATGAAGCACAATTTTACCCAAATACTTTCTTTTAACTTCATTTCTATTTACATAGACATTTTTATTTTTCATATTCCATTTGAGCAAGCATTCTGCTAAATGTATTGGTCTCTTTAAAAATTTTTCATTTATAGTCTCTGTGGGTTTTTTTAGTAGTTTTAATTAAAAACATATCAAAACTTACACTTGAGCTTTAATAATTTCATAAAACATAATGCATACTGTTTTAATATATGGAACAGAAAAAAATTACATGAAAGGAATTAAATTCCAAAGGTTTCTCAAACAACAATTACTCAATAATAAATAACTTTGAAAGTAACTCAGATCAACATATCATCCTCTTAAGTATTTCATCTTTTTGAGAAATAATTTTTAAATAGAACTTTTTTTCCATAGAAAAGTATCCACGGTAACAATATTTTATTTTTTCCTTCTCACATATTCAACCAAAACGCAGTCATTATGTGACCATACATTTGGAAACAGTTGAATACCAATAAAGTTCTGTGATCCACAGGACAAAATTACAAAATCAAATCCTAGTGAAATATGTAAATGCTTTATACTTAAGTACTCTTCAAATAATCAGGAAAAAAACCTACAGTTCAAAGTGTGCTCCAGTACAAACATTGCATATTTCATTAGAGTTTCACTACCTTACATAAGATTTTCATAAAAGTACCAAATTTATGATTTTAAACATTGAACTCCCAAATTAGTTCCTCTGTGGTTGTTACTTATCACTAATTATTTAAAGATAAACTATAGTGATTTTGTTTTTCAAAGGCTATTACTGTGCAAGTATAAAAAATATATTCATTTTTCTCTGACTTACTTCTTTTTCAGCATCTTCTAGTTTCTTTTTCTTACTCTCAGGCATCAAATCATCCAACCAGCTAAGTTCCCGTTTGGTAAATAGCAAGTCCATCAACTTTCTTACAAATACCAGAGCTAATACCTGAAGCAAACAGTAAGAGTTTAAAACAGAAAAAAAAAACATAGAAATGTAGGGGTTTTGTTGGGGGATGGGGTGGGGTGGAGAATTCATTTGAATTAGGGCCAAGATTAACGCAAACATTGAAATGAATAAGACATTATCTGAGCTTTTGCTTTATTCCTTTTCTTTTCTCATCATCTCCTCAGACTAATGGCTATGATTACACCCATTAAAAGAATCATTTGAAGAAGTGTAAACAAACAAGCAAAACAACACCATATTATGCATTTAAATGCTTCCTTTAAAAATGTAGCTAGTACTTTGTATTATTTTACATGAATATTAGATTATCCTTGCCAATACTGATCATACTTTTACTTATTTACAGGCTTTCCAATTAACCATATTTATGTAGTATTTGAAAGGAAACGTTTAACAAAATTAATCAGAAAAATAATGCTAAAATTTCAGATTTTTTGTATATTTTTAATGTTAAATTTGAAAGTTTATATTTTTTCCATCCAACCTTAAGCTACTACAACTATTCAGAATTCTAGAGAGCTAATGCTAATATTCATAGAATTCTAGAGACAACATTGAAATTCATAGAGAATCTCAAACCCTATTTTATACCAGGGTTTCTAATAATTTTTCAAAAGAACTCTCTTGTTTTAATTTCAGTTCACATGTTTCCAAAAAGAACAGATATTCAGAAGAGACAAAAGGTTGACTTAGAAGTTTCATACCATCATGGGAAAGACAATAGCAGCTCTTGAAACTTTTATTATCCACAAAAGACCAAGGCAACTCATCTGAATAATTGTGAAGAGATGAACTTTTCGAAGAGGCACATGCCTTAGGTATATAAAATCTGGTTGATGTTTTGCAGGCATCCAAAAGAGCCTTATTCTATCAAAGAACTGCAATACAAATAGTACAACAATGAAAGGAGGAAAGTAAATGTCTACTATGGTCCCAAATTTTAGGTCCACATGAAACATTTTAATCACATTTCAACTGACATCTGAGCATTAGGACAATGAGACTGTTGGGCTTACACTCTGAAACACTACAATTTTAATTTAACAATGTCCCACAGTCTCTTGACTATGGAGACAGTTTATAATCTTGAAGAGTTTTAAAAAATTATTAAATCCAATGCTAATGCTATCTAAGAGAGTAGAACCTTGAAAGACAAAATACAATCATCATCCTATTTTTATCACATCATAATTGCATCTGCTTCCTCTGGACTCTTGATGTGCAGCTATAGGATTGGCACTGGACTGAGAATCACAAGGTCAGCAGTTCAAACCCACCAGCTACATCTAGGAAACCCTATACATGACTGCTATGAGTCAGAACCAATTGGCCGGCATTTAACAACAACAACAATCTCTTCTGCTAACTGCAAGGTTGGTGGTTCAAACCCACCGAGTGCTCCTTGGAAATCCTATACACAGTTGCTATGAGTAGGAACTGACTTGACAGCCTTTAACAACAATAGCAACAATCTCTTCAGCTAACTGCAAGATTGGTCGTTCAAACCCACCAGCTACTCCTTGGGAATCCTATACAAGATTATTATGAGTCAGAATTGGCTCAACAACACTTAACAACAATCTCTTCCTTTATCTGGTCCTTAAGAATCATGGCTTCCTGGACTTTTATTCTGTCTTCTTTCCAGGAATAGCTTATCCACATGCATGGCTTAAACTTTCACAGACCTAGATAGCTATTTCAGATGTCTCTTTCTGTAGCTCTAGACCCAGAATCAGCTGCTGAGTAGGATGCTTTGACCTCCTTATTTTGACTCTGCTGTTTTGACTTTGTCACTTTGATGCAGTCAAATTTAAGCATATTAAACATAACAATGTAACCTAGATGAAATTTTGTTAGAAAAGTATTTTCCAGAGCAAACTTTGTTAATTTAATTTCCAGAATGTATAGTCAAACCATTTAGATATTTTTCTATTGTGTTTTATTAAAATTGTTTTAATCTGGATCAATGACATTTCTGTATGAATTTTACCATACAGATAATTTAGTTACTCTTAGAAAATATAATAGTAATTGTTATAGCTTTGACTTTGAGACAATTTTTATCTCCTAAACCAAATTGTATGGATTAAATTCAGATTTTATAACTTAAACTATACTAGAAGTTTTAACTATTCTACATATTGTTGTTATTCTTTTTAAGTGCTGTCAGGTCAATTCAGATTCATGATTTCACACAGGTGACCCTGTGTAGGGTTTCTGAGGCTCTCAATCTTTGTAGGAGCAGAAAGTTTCATCTTTCTCCTATAGAGTGGCTGGTGGGCTCAAACTACTCACTATGATTCGAAGTTCAGTGTTTATCCTACAGAGTCACTTTGCTCCCGGTTGTTGTTAAGTACCACAGAGTTGGTTCTGACTTTTAGCAACCCAGTATAGGGATACCAAGGAGCGAATGGTGAGCTTGAACCACCGACCTTGTGGTTCAAACTAACCTTGTCGTCCAGTGCTCATCCTGCAGTGCGAAACCAGGACTTCATTATACATTTTAGAAACAGTAATATTAGATTTAATTTCTTAGCTAATCTACAAGATTTACACCCTCGGAAACCCTGTACAGGGTCGCTATGGGTCGGAACCGACTCGACGGCACTTAACAACAACAACAACAATCTACAAGAAAATTTTAAGCAATACTCATCAACTATTTCAAAATCATTCTGCACTGCAGAGGAGCCAAATGTCAGGGTCAAAACATCATGTAACACCCAAACCTGTTTGTATGTAAAATAGGAATCTCAAATTCAACATAAACCCATCTTTTCTTCTGTGTTCCCTGCCTTAGGACATGACATCACCCTTCTTCACTCATCTAAACCAGAATAATATAAATCTGAAATTCACTCACTTTTTCACTTACTCATTCATTCATAGCATTCATTCATTGATACCCATTTATACACTCTAAAAATATTAACTGTAAAACTTCTATGCAGGGTTGTTGCTGTTGTTGATGTATATTCCGACTTATGGTGATCCTACAGCACAGAGTAGAACTGCCTCATAGGGTTTCCAAAGCTGCAGTGTTTATGAAAACAGACCGTCATCTTTGGTTCACACCTCTCCAGAATACCTGTATTTATTGCACTACATCTTTTCATTTCTATATCCTAAATAAGTAATTAAATGAAAAACAAATAAACAAAACTTGATGCAGGTTGGAAGCAGAACCTTAGGGAAAAGCATGAAGTAAAATCCTCTGGATAACAGTAGACTATTTCAGTTTCTATAGAACCAATTTTCCCCAACCATTTTCCCATTTGTGTCATTGCATAAGTGTACTTCAGTGTGTGGGTGCTTCAATTGTTGTTGTTTAAATGACACAGTTGCTTTACTTTAGATTCCTGAAGTGTTGGAATGAATATAGATGTGATTACATCTGAATAAAGAAATAGCATTCGTGAGAACACTGTGGTCTGGTTTTTTCCTGACATATTTTTCCACAGTAAGAAGCCTACATGATAGTTTTTTTTTAAAAAAATTATTTCCAAACAACCAGGTAACATTACAAATGAAGGTGTTTCTTGAACTGTTAATAGTCAGTACATTTGCTCATTGTTGTTTTTGATGACCACACAACAAAACACTGCCAGGTCCTGTGCCGTCTTAACAATTATTGTTATGTTTGAGCCCATTGCTACAGCCATTGTGTCAATCCATTTCCTGGGGGGTCTTCCTCTTTTTCATTGGCCCTCCCCTTTACTAAACATTATGTCCTTCTGTAGGGACTGGTTCCACCTGATAACATCTGAAGTATGGGAGACAAAGTCACACCATCTTGACATCTAAGAAGCATTCTGGCTGTACTTCTTCCAATACAGATTTGTTTGTTCTTCTGGAAGTCCATGGTACTTTTAACACTCTTCTCCATCACTATAATTCAAATGTATTCATTTTTCTATGGTCTTCCTCACTTAACTTTCACAGGCATATGACAAAATTGAAAATACCATGGCTTGGGTCATGTGCACCTTAGTCCTCAAACTGATTATCTTTGCTTTTGAGAGGTCTTGTGCAGGAGATTTTTTTTTTTTTAACTTTTTATTGTGAATCATGTGGATTTACATGGGAAAACATCAGTTTTACATTAATCCTATCGTAGTTCGTTTCATTGCAATGATTACAATCCCCTCCATGCATCATCAAATAATGTATGTATGGATGTAGTAGCTCAAAAAGGGGAACAAATCTTTACAGTGAGGATCATTCCCACCCCCTCGGTTCACAGGGTTGACAGGGATGGGCAACTTAGACATTGGCTACCCAAAATGACGGCCCCTTGGCCGTCAGCACACAGCCCCTCTCCTTCTTTGAGTCCAGTGTCCCCAGCCACTCCATCTGCCCACGTCATTGTCTCTGTCTCCATTTCTGGCATCACTTCTTCTCTAGGTAGGGTCCCATACTCCACTCTTCTCACTTGCTGGTCCCAGGGACCTCTGCTCCTGGACAGCAAAATCAATCACTGCCCTCCTTTTTGTTTAAAAACATCAAAAACATCTACCTTTACATTTCCGACCTTCACAGTCAGTCCTGAAGGCAATTATTCACTATTGTACCACAAGAGTCTTATCCCCATCTCCTTTCATTAGCCTCATCGCAACAGATTGGAAACCATTCAGTGGAGATTCTACCTTCCCCCACCCCATCTGGAACTAGGCTCCCTCGAGAAAGCTTGTAAGCCAGTCACTTCTTGCCTTTATAGCTCCCCCATTTTAGGTAGCCAATATTTAAGTTGCCCATCCCTGTCAACCCTGTGTACTGAGGGGTGGGAGTGATCCTGGCTGTAAAGATTTGTTCCCTTTTTTGAGCTAATACATCCATAAGTATAAGGAGCTCTGGTAGCGTAGTGATTAAGAATCGGGCTGTGAACCTCAAGGTCAGCAGTTTGAAACTACCAGCTGTTCCGCAAGAGAAAGATGAGGCTTTCTGCTCCCATAAAGATTTACAGCCTTGGAAACACTATACAGGGTCGCTATGAGTCGGAACTGACTCCACGGCACATAACCACCACCACCACCACCACATCCATAATTATAGGTAAAGTTCATCAAATTGTAGCGGGTTACTCTTTATTTTCCTCTTCTTTCTTCTTCTAGCCGTGTTCTGATCATCCAGCCATTGAAGCCAGGTCAAGTGGGTACTCTCTGCATGTATGGGTGTTCTTGTGCATCTCCCCTCACTTCATATCAGCTGGATGCTTTGCCCTCTGCTTAGTCCTCTGTGGCCATGTCACTGCCTCTGGGCCCAGGAGTCCCTGGGTCATGCCATACTGCTGGCCAACCAGGTCTCCGTCCAGGTTCACAGGAGTCTATTGAATGTGGTTGGACTTAGCTCCCAACTTCATTTCTGTTTTTCCCCCTCTTCCCCTTATTGGTGACCAACATGTTCATCATCCAGACCACATGCCTGCATATGTATTTCCCTCAGTCTTGGAATGGAGTTTGCTCTGAGAGGACCCAACCACTTGCCTTGATGGCTCCCAGGTGAACAGTTTGCTTGTTCTTGTAGTTATTGTTTTTGATTTTTCCTGTCGTTCTTTCTTTCAGGAAGTATCTGCTGTTCTTCTAGCTGCTCCACGCAGGTCCACGCACCTCAGATGATTCTGGATGGGGTTCTGGATTCCACCTATGGTCTTCATGCAATGTAAAGGCTCCACAGGAAGCCTCTTTCACTGGGCAACTTCTAGCCCCCTTTAAGGTATTCCAATCAGTCGTAGGCTGAAGACAGACTCACAAGCTTTCTATTGTGATGTTTCTGGCTATTCCTTTCTCTCTTTCTCTCCCCTTATACAGCAGATTTGTTTAATGAATATATCATTTGCTTGCATCAGTGTTGATTGTGTATCCCAGCAAAATAAAGTCTG